TTCTGGCAATTATCTCAGCGCTCGTCGGAAGATTCGCAAGTCCTCATTGTATACTGCTTATAATGTTTGTTCTGATTCTATTTTACGGTGTTTGCTAATAGGTCCAAAAACAGAAAGAGTTTTGCAACGAGTTTTGCAACGTAGTGTTGTGTGCCGTTCAAAAACATAATCAAGCCACTTACTTGATCTTACCTTTGTTTCATCTCTATTTCAATCTGTGACCATTTTAGCTAGTAATGTCGCATGTTATGGGATCACAGTGGAGGCAACTATTTGACGTAGTGATTGTGGATGGTGAGAAACCAAAATGGTTCCTGGGCGATTCCGCCTTCAAGACAGTGAGCACTCTTTTTTGAAACATACTTCTGTTTGGTCAATAGGCACAGGCTAATCAAACAGTTATCGTCTCTCGCCAAGAAAACATATGTTGACAAGCAAACAAGATTAGAATTAAGGCTGCATCTTGCTAACAGTCTAAATCTGGCGTAGACGATAAGTATAGGTGCACACCTAAATTTGGACGTGTTCTGTTGGAAGTAGTGCAGACTTTTGTCATTCTTAGATGAACCAAAAGTACGTGCTTAGGGACGATCTTTGACTAATTTCTTGCAAAAAAAGCTCGAGTTCGCGATCCGCCCACTAATCTAATTGTCTTAATCTAATCCCCAACTGTTAGCATCACAAATATGGCATTGTTCCGCAAGATTTTTGTCGGCTTTGCTATATTAACTATTGAATATTAGAATGTATGCAATATGAAGGTTGGATTGGTTTCTTAAAGGTGGATTTATCTACCGGGTGTGCACAAATGGGAAGTCACAGTGGTCCATTGCAGAAAAAAGATGTTTATTGTAAAGGTGAGTTAAATTGTCGCTTGATTGTGATGCTTTTTCGAGACCACTGAAAATGAGCATAGTCAAAATCAGATTATACTTATGAGTGTTTGCAATGCGCTTCAATAATTTCTGCTCCGTAAAGCGGAATCTCAAACCGTTGGTTCACAGAGAAAGCACAAAATTTGCAATCACGGAACACACGGGTTATGTCGTCGTACGCTCCACCCTTAGCCGACGGCTGCAAGTCTGTAATGCCTGCAAATGCATAGAGTTATGCTATTTTTGAATGAACTTATTGTTAGAGATTTTTAAAGCGCTGCCTACATTACTTTATCTAGGTTGCGCGACTGAATTTGTCAAAAGAATGGGTCTGATTGGAAAAGATATACTTTATGTTGGCGATCATATTTTTGGAGACGTCCTGAAGTGAGTGCGAACGCTTCCAAACTTTTAACAAATTTATTTCCTGAGCGAAATTCACTTTATCCG